AGCGGATCTCTGTGAGTTCAAGGTCAGCCTGGGCTACCAAGTGAGTTCCAGGACAGGCGCAAAGCTACACAGAGAGGCCCTGTCTTTAAAAAAAAAAAAAAAAAAAAAAAAAACACCTTGAAGAAGTCCAGCCCCCCACTGCCCGCTGCCACTGTCAAGCCTGTGCTTTTATACACCGTGAACTCTATGCTGTTTGATGTTCACATCTTCTAAAGATATTTAAGTAAGGCCCAGTGAGTTGGCCCAGCAGGTAACTTGCCCAGCAAGCCTGACGACCTGAGTTCAATCCCCAAAACCCCAGTGGAAGGTGAGAACTGACTCCAGAAAGTTAATCCTCTGGCCTTCACATGTGTACTGTAGTGTATACACACACACACACACACACACACACACACACACACACACACGCACGCACGCACGCACGCACGCACGCACGCACGCACACACACACACACAAATAATAAAAAAATAGTTGTGGTTTTGGGGTTTTTTTGTTGTTGTTGTTGTTTTAAGACAGGGTTACTCTGTGTAGCCCTGGCTATCCTGGAACTCACTCTGTAGACCAGGCTGACCTCAAACTCAGAGATCCCAGAGATCCACCTGCCTCTGCCTCCCAAGGTCTAGGGTTAAAGGCGTGCGCCACCACCGCCCAGCTTAATAAAATAGTTCTGAAAGATAACTAAAGTAGGGAGCGGCCCGAGCTCACCAGTAGGCTCACAGGCTCGACTTTTCTTCTTCTAGCTCCCGGTTTTCTTCACCTTCTCCTAGCGTGGCTTATAGGAGACAGACTCTGCACACTGCTGTGTGATGCTGTCTTTATTTCCCCTGAGTTCAGAACTCTAGGCCGACAGCCTAGTGCCCTAAGGGTGTTCTGTGTCTCCTCGCTCGCGTCATTCCCAGGAGGAATCCGCGTCTGCTTCTCTGTAACACATCTTCATTCTGTTGGCCTCGAGATTTTTCTCTTTATCATGAATCTCGAACAGTTTGATTAGGGGGGTGTCATTTTCTTCCTGCTTCTTATGCCTCAGGTCTGCTGAGGGTTTTGTGTATTTGTGGGTTTTCAGGTTTCATCACATTTGAAAAACGTTTCACATACCCTCGTCTGGGGATCAGATTACCCGTGTGTGATGCCGCTTCAAGTTGTCCCGAGGGCCCCTGGCGCTTTCTCTCTCCAGTTTTCTTTGTGCGGCTCCCTCTCAGCTTCCACCGCTGTCTTCATACACACACCCTTTTCCTCCTCAGACTCTTCTGCTGATCAGCCCGTCACGTGCCTTTTTAATGGTGTAAATGTAAATTCTTTCCCTGTTGGCTTTTGTGTGATTTCTGTATCGCTTTGCAGTTTCCATGGGAATTAGACAGAACATCCTGAAGTGGTTTATACCAGCCTCGCCTCACGCAGTAGCACGCTCGTGAGCACTCTGCTCCCATGCTCCCTGCCCTGTCCTCAGTTGTTGATGCCTTGGAATTATGTCTGTACATGCTTGAAGCCGAAGTTTGTGCTAACAGTATTGTAAACGTGTTAGTCTCTAGCTATGCGGAAACAAAACATGGGATCACAAGCCACGGTTCCCATAATGTTGCTTTTAGACTAATAATGGCTTTTAAAATACACGTCTGTTCCTCATACAGAAAACAAAGTGGGGCCGTAAATCTGCTGCAGCCACAGAAACTTTTGAATTTGAAGGGATCTTTTTCCCTCCGAGGGCGCTGTGATGTGATGTTCCGGGTTTTTGGAGGCTCTGTTTTACACTGTGTAAGGCAGGGCTACCCACACATCAGGTGAAGGCCAGCCCAGTGTGCCACGGTCTCCACTCCCCCTCAGAACATCAGTGCCACACCTTGTGGCTGTCCACACAGCAGCATGACCTACACACAGCAGAGTGAACTTCCTCATATGGAGGTGGCCTTCCTTACGGCAGGGAGACCCTTGTCACATGGAAATGATATTCCTCAGAGTGGGGTAACCTTCCTCACAGCAGAATGACCTTCTTCACAATGTGTGGCCTTCCTCACATGGAGGTAGCTTGTCTCACAGTGGGGTGTCCTTCATCTGGCCATGAGAATCTCTTGTCTGTGTTCTTTTGGTGAAGACAAGTCCAGTGGCCAGCTGGGGCTTGAGGAAAGAGGACACAGACTCTCTTCTCAGATGGTCAGATGGGTGCACATCTGCTGGTAGATATCCTCTGTGGTAATCTGTACCACAGAGAAAGCCACGTGGCCTCCTCTGGCTCACAGTGCTTTGAGCACTGTGGTCATCCTTACGTGAGCGCCATTACTGCTCACATGTCCTTCTCTTCACCCCCAGTCACCCTGGGATGTGGGAATCAGCTGCAGCCAGTGCTCAGCACGGTAAGGACGGCCATGGCACAGCTTCCAGACCTTCCACCCCTGCCCAGAGGTGCCCACCATATTGTGTCTCAGTCTTCAAGAGCCAATCACCATGATCCGTAGGCTGCTGGTCTGCTCTGCTCCTGGAACATGGGGGCCTTGTTTGTGCTGAGGCCTCCCCAACGGTATGAGTCATTCCAGGGAAGAGCCTGGCACTGTCGCCTCCACATTCCCCAGTGGTAAGCAGTATTCAGGTGTAAGAGAGGCCGCGTACACATAACAGCCTAGACTCTGAGGTTTGGGCCTGCCGAAGACACACACACACCACCTTCCTGAGAGCTCCAGGTGGGGCCAGGGACTGGCCAAGAGTGAGGGCCGTGGCAGGCAGAGTCTCAGTGATCAAGTCAGCACGTGGCACTTGAGAGGTGTAAGAAATTTGTCCCCCACATGGCAATAAGGTCTTCCCTTCACAGTCGCCCCCAAGCCTGTGATCTTCCATCCCCGGAGGAGGAGGCAGACTTCTGTTCGCTGGCCATTCTCAGCAGGGACCAGTGCAGGAACACCACAGACCTGTGTCTCCCTAAGATGTGCCCCCTCAGATTCCCAGCTAGGCACCTTCACCCCCTGGTCCTCCCGGTGTTTTCCTTACTTAAGATGGCCTCTCTGTAGAGCGCACGTGTACACTGGCCTAAGGTCTGGACTGCGCCGTGCCCACGGACACCCGTCGTCACTGCCGTCTAATGAGCCGTCGCGCTGGGCCTCTGGCCGGGCTGCGGTGCCAGCGGCTCTCTGTGCTCTCTCTGCTTTATGGGGTGCAATGTTGCCACCCCCCCTGCAGTCACACTTACCCACTCCCAGCTTTCGTGCAAACAGAAATGAGCCTTGTCCCCGGCGTGGTAAGCAGAGAGGCCGCAGCCTCCCCCGGGGCGCAGCATTCAGAAGAGAGTGGCCCGCCTTGTCAGGAAGGCCAGCGGCATTCCTCGCTCGCTAACGCTGCCTTCTGCGTCATTCCTCTCACTTTTTCCTGGTGTAGGAAACCACAAGGACTGCAGGGGGGGTGGGGGGGGCTTCTTCCTGTAGAATCCAATTCCTAGTTCCCTAGCAACTGCCTCACGGAGTTTGTGTCGACCCCTGGCTGAGCTGAGGTCACTGCCCGAGTCCCGGCGTTTCACTCTTGGTAGTGCATCGTCGTGCAAGCTGATGGACATTGTGCAAATCCGAAACACGGTGACTTTGCGGGCGCTGTGACTTGGCGACCTGAGGTGGGATCTTCGCCAGTCCTGTACTCGTGTGCCAGTGTGCGCGCGGCCAGGTCCACCCTCCCCTAGTCTCTTGCTCTCCTACCCTTGCTGGAACATCTGGGAGTTTCAGGGGCCGGAGGCTGTGACAGTCCAGGGCTAGGCGAAGTCCGCACTGCGCCATCCTTAGACTCTGCAAACGGTGTCTCCAAGTCCAAGGGATGTGGAGGCTGACACCCAATCCCAGAATCTGCCCCTCGGGGGACAGTGACAGGGGCTACAGCAGCCCAGGGTGGGGGCAGCAAGCCAAGTGAGTCTCGTCGTCGTCGTCGTCTGGTCCTGTTGGAGTGATGAATCTGGGAGAGAGAAAAGGGTCTCCAGCTGAAGAGAAGGGTGGATCTGGCAGAGATCTTGCAGTGACCTCTGTCTCCGGGCACAGGGCTCCGGGGTCACTTTGCTTAGACCAGTTGCTTATTCTGTTGGCAAACAGTTAAAAGAGGGGAGGTGATGCCCCCCCCACACACACACACACAGCTAGGTTGAGGGTGGCCTGAAGCATCCTTAAATGAAAAGCTTGGCTTCTGTCCCGTCCTACTAAAGCTGTTTATTTTTCTTGTGATCACATGGATGGTTCAAGTAGCAGGGGGCCCGCGTGGGGTGGAGCGGGGCACATGTAGGAGCCGGGGGCTTGGGGAGAGGTGTCCTTCAGGCAGGGGCTCCACAGCTATGAAGATGGGGTGCTGAGTTGACAAGTAGGCTCCCTAAGTGCCCCATGGCCAAGGTGCACTCCCAAGGGGACCGTGCCTAGGAAGAGGCGAAGTACCAAGCTCTGTCCTCTGAGCATCACTTCAGCCCTTCTCCGCCTCCCTCTACTTCCTGCTCCTGTTTGTTCAGGGCCAGTGCTGCTGTGACCCCCATCCCCTGACTCCAGTCCCCTGTGAGCAAGCCCATTTCCTGTGTAACAAGCCCCCGTGGATCTGCAGGAGCCTCTGAGAGGGCAAAAGGACCCCGGGGCCCGTGGAGCCTGGCAGGGGGTGGGAGACTTGAGGTGGACCGTGAGCACAGGTGGCAGGCTATTGCCAACGCAGTGAGCCATGAGCCCCAGGCAGCTGCCACCCACAGTTCCTCTGGTGCCTGGGGGCAGCAGGCTGGCTCTTGAATCTTCGATACTTCATCTGTTCACAAGTGTTTAAAGATGTCTCCTTCAACTCGAGTTTACACTTTTGCCTATAGATAGTGAGGGTTTAAAACAGAACAACAACAAAAAAAAACCCTTGCTTTTGCTTCAAAAATAGCCTGCCCACAGAAGTCCTCCAGCCCCGGGGGCGGGGCCGGTTGCAGATGCACAGGGCTAGATGGTTTCTTCACAGCCAGGGCAGTACCACCCTTCCCAGCCAGTGTTGGTAATTCAGAAGCCCCTTTCTGTCCCCACAGACTCAGCCCGTGCCCAACCCGATGGCCTACTACCTGCACAGGTCACCCTGGTGGTTCCATCACTTTGAGACCCTCAGCAACCACTTCCTAGAACTCCTCGTGCCTTTCTTCCTGTTCCTCGGGCGCCGGATGTGCATTCTTCACGGGGTGCTGCAGATCCTCTTCCAGGTAGGCTGTGCCAAGGTGCCACCACTTGGGGTCCCCGTGTGTCTACCGAAGACAAGAAAGAGCCTGCTTTATTTCTGTGTTCACATCAGGGCCGTGGGGAGAGGTCTCACCGGCTCCATCTCATCCCCAGCAGGGGCCCCCCTCCATCTGATCCAGGCTGGATTCCCGGGTCCCCTTCCCGGCTTCCATGAGCCTGTCTGTGGTGGTGTCCGGTTACCCTCAGAAAGCTGCCTGTGGGCAGTAACACAGACCTTGCTCAGGCCCACCTCAGCCCCACACAGACACTCCCTCTGTTCTTGAGTCCACCCCTAAAATGTTAAGTGTCTTTCTATATGTCGACATCAGTCTACCAGGAATTGGGGTGGGTTGTTTAAGACAGGGTCTTACCATATAGCCCCGACTGGCCTAGAGCTTGTGGCCCTTCCGCCTCTGCTTCCTGAGAGCTGATGTAACGGACATGGGCCTCCATGCCTCACCTCCTTCTGCTTTTTGAATCAGGGTCTCAGTAAGTTGTCCAGGCTGCCCTTGAACTTGCTCCTCCTTCCTCGGCCTCCCCAGCCACTGGGGTGATAGGCCTGCTCCACCAGGCCGGGCTCACCTTGTGGTTTTGCCTTTCCATTTTCAGTCATGAATGGATGTTGACCGCAGCTGACATTTCCCCCCATCAGTCAGGAGAGGTCGCAGGGTTTTTCCCTTCAATATGTTAATGAAGTGAATTACATTACCGCTGCTCCGGTTGAGCTAGTTTCATATTCTAGAATAAACTCAGCTTGGTCATGCTGGAGATATTTTAATATATTGCTGGGGCTAATTTGCCAATGTTTTGTTTTAGATTTTGCATGGTTGTCAGTGAGAGAGACCTGTCTGTAGTTTTCCAGCATAATGTGGGCCTAGTGTGGATTCCCTGTCTGGATTCATTGCCCCACACTCAAAAGACTATCCCCCCTCTCTCTGAAGGTCCATGGAGACCCAGGCAGCCTGTTCTCAAGAGCCTGGGCAATGCTGGGTGTGCATCTGAGCAAAGCTTTGAGAGTTCTGCCATGGCCCAGCCTGCGGCTGTGGGACATCCTTCTCAAGGCAGCTTTGGCAGTCAGCATTTTCCTGGGAATAAACATGTCAGTTTCACCCGTTTTCAAACTTATTAACGCAACGGGGAGAGGAGACATCAGGTTGTCCTCAGTGCAAAGTTGGGATCCATGTCCTGTCTCTCTCTGCATGGCTGTGTTTAAATCAGGACTGTGAGCAGATGGTTGAGTCTCACTGGCACCTTTGCCACAGTGACCTTTGGCTGCTAAGTCTTCTCTGGCTCCTACCTGTCCACGGCTCTCAGTGCTCCAAAATGTTGGCTCCTTTTTGTTTTGTATTTTAATCGGGGTACTCTAGGAGCTATGCAGAGATTATGGACGATTCCTTTGTGCCCCACGTCCCCACTTCACACTGATGGGGTGCAAGGCGACGGTGCAGTGATGACCCATGACTCCCCAAGGTCCACAGAGCATTCTCTGGGTTTGGACAGTGGAGAATGTTTATGCACCATCCCTGCCGTACAGGCATCTTCCTACCCTGGGAGTCACGGGAGCGCGGCTTCCTCTTCCTTGACCCCTGGCCCTCGGTCTTTCCCAAGCATCTTGGATCTGGAACCACAATGTGTGCCCTCTCCAGCCAGCTTCTCTCAGTCATGTGTTGGAGACTCCTCCCTGTTTCTTAACTACTCCTGTCTTCTCCGAGCTGATATTTACATGGAGTGCCTGTTTCCCACACGTCTTCTGGAGGCCACAGACAGTGCCAATCTTGAGATGGCAAAAAGATGTGCCCTACTGGCCCCTAGACCAAGTGAGACCTCGCCCTGCCTGAGAAGCAGGACCATCCAGCTGGATGGACTAGACATTGAGGAAGAGCCATAGCCTTGGGTGTCTCCATTTCTTTGTTTTGGCCCATGTGTGAGGTTGGGTAGGGGGTAGGGATGCTCCTGGGCCTGTATGGCCTAGTAAGGAAGTTGGTGCCTAGGCTGGGCCTTCCAGAATAATACCCGGAACCTCAGGGAGGGCCAAGGCAGGCACATGTGTTCCCCACTGGGCACCGGGGAATTTTTGCAGAGCCCAGGGCTGCCATGATGCTAGGAAAAGCTGTCTGCGGTGCCTCAGCTGCACAGGTAGGTCCCAGAGACAGGTATCATGAGTCCTCATCTGGGCATGGCAGATGCCTTGGGATCTGGAGTCTCCTGGGGTTCAGGAGTCTCCTCTTCCTGTGTAGAAGGGGCTGTAAAGCAAGCTTCTCCCAACAACCCCTCTGTGGGACACCCTGGAAAATGAAGAAGCCTATAGCACACCCTTCAGGAGTTCCAGCAGCCTTGAGCTACTGTTAACTCCTTGTAGTCCTTGCAGTCAGCAAGGCATCCCCAGTGTTTGCTGTCAGTGGGGGATCCCTGGCTAGCAGTTCCCACTTGACTCTCATGGTGGAGAACACGGAACTGGCCACACCATGTCCGGAAGAAAATGGAGATATCCAGGGCTATGGCTTTTCCCCAGGACTGGTCCCCAAGATCCCCAAGATCCAAGTGAGACTCTTCCTGCCTACCAGGCAGAGTTAAGTATAGGATCGGGGTCAGCAGGCATGGCCTTTACCATCCCAAGAGCCCCTGTGACTCTGAGCCCTTTACCATGCAGTGCTGTGGCCAACACACAGCACCCGCCACCCTATGGCATCTGAGTGCAGCCTCAGCCTCGTGTGGAACTGCACTGTGTCCTGACCCAGTGGTTCCGGTGTTCCTTCCTGTGGGCCAGGCAGAGTTTGAGTTCACTCACTTCCTCCCACACTCGGTTTACACAGCTGCTCCTAGGATCCCCGCAAGGCCACAGGATCCACGTGGGAAGGGCCGAAGAGCTCTGAGGCGATGACCCCGGAAGGGGCGGTATGGTCAGCCTCCGCTGCTGAGCTAGGTCAGGACATCCGAGGCCCACCATGTATCAGTCGCCACCAAGGAACAAGGAGGAGGTGGGGTTGGACTTGAGACTCAGCAAAGAGAAGGCGAGAGAGGGTCTTGGGAGAGGCAGCTTTAAGGTTGATTCCTCTGTTAGGGCCACGTGGGGCTACCCAGATGGTTTGGGAGCACGCACATGGGAAGGTCCCTGTGACCACATACATGTCCTCTGAAGCTCCTGTCTCCCCTGTGGGAAGCCTACAAGCATGTGTCCTCTGTGGTAACTGCAAACCCAGCAGGGACATCCAGAAATCCCCCCCTCTTCCTTTTGGGGTCATGTTGCATCTGCCTGGAACATCTGCTGTAGCCTCTCTGGGGCTGAATTCCACCAACACACGTTCGTCTTCCTTTGCCGTCCCGAGCCTCGCCCGCCGCACAGCACAGGGCCATGCCCCAAGCCGGTCATCTGCAGAGCACACTGAGAGCTCGTTGACGACTCTACTGGCCAGGGGTAAACACAGATGGGCTGTGACGAGATTCATCTCCCTCAGAGGGGATGGCCGCAGTGACGCTGGAAGGAAAACAAGAAAGATAAGATCCCTTTGGAGCACTTGGACCATGTGCTGCCTGATGAATTCCAGTCTTACTGAACAAGCTGGCTGCTCCGGGAGGGGATTCTGAACTGTGTGGGCCAAGCTGGCCTGACCCCTGAGCACAGCAGCCATCTATCTGTCCACCTGGACGAAGTGTCACAGGCGCTCCACAGGGCTTTGTCAGAAACAGGATTTCACCTGGGGGACAGTTAACCTGTGTCATCACCTTGGCTAGATTTAGAATCCTCTCTAGGGGACACACCATTGGGCGCGTCTGTGAGGGTGCTTCAGAGAGGATAATTGAGGAGGGAAGACCCGCCGCTCCGAACATGGGTCCTACCATCCCACAGACTGAATGAAATAGGAAGAGGGAGAAAAGAAAGCTGAGCATGCATCTCTCAGCTTCCTGGCTGCAGGTATAATGTGCCCGGCCACCTCAAATTCCCACTGCCATGCTTTCCCTCCATGATGGACTGTGTGCCCTCAAACCATGAGACAAAGCCTTCCTTCCCTAAGTTGCTTTTGTAGGCTTTTCAAAAACAACTAAATACACAGTGGTCTCTGTGGGGCTTAGGTCCTCCGGGATTTCCCACTGAGTGGAGGGAGTTTTGAAAATAGGTTCGTGCCAGCAGCCTCCAACAAGGCCATGAGCTCTAGGGTGGGTCTGTGTCGATCAGAGCTCCCCGGGTATAACCGTGACTGCCAGGCAGCTGGGGTCGTCTCATGCAGTGCAGGGTCCTAGGTCATCATCACTACAGCTGAGTCTGCCCATGGGAGGAACACTGACCCCTGGCTCATGGCCACAGGACATCACCCCAGCCTCACTGGAGCAGGGGCAGACAACAGGTGGACATGTCATCTCTGCAGAGTGGCCAGCCATACCCTCACCTCAAGGCTTTGAGTTGCAACCTCCCTGCTCGGGAGCTAGAAATGATTTGAATTGTCTGAGGAGGTGACTAGTGAGGATTCAAAGTCGCCATCTGTCATGTGAGCCAGCTGTTCCTCCAAGAAGGTGCTTAACTAGAGCTTTCAAGGCAACAGGTTCCAAAACTACAGCCCAAAGGGATGCCCTGAGATCTCTGCAGTAGCTGGGTGCCGCCTGGGGCCCTTCCTCCAGCAGCATTGAGCAGTATCTCGGGACTCACAACAGTACTCTCTATGCCTTGCTTTCCATGGAAATAATCATGATTGAGGAAAGAAGGAACAAAGGCCTGCCCCTGCCCCTGAAAGCTAAGAGAGGTTCTTGGCACAGGAGTGTAAGTACAGTTCACACATTCCCACCATCTAATTTGGTCCCTAGAGGAGAAACCAACAGGGCACACAGATTAGAGGGGAGTGGCAGCCCAGCCTGTTGCACCATGGGAAGTCTTAGGATCTGCCACCTGCAAGTTGGGAACCCAAGAAGGCTGGTTGGTAGTCTGGTCCCCGTCCAGACTCAAGGACCAAGACCCATGGGAGCCAGTAGTCTTCACCCTGGCTTCATCCACAGACAAGGGACTCCCACAGGCCAGAGCAGGAGGAGGTGGACGTCCATCACAGGGAGAGGAGACCCGCCCTTCCTGGACACTTTGGTTTTTTCCAGACTCTTGGTGGGTGGGTGATGCCCAGTGCATTGGGCAGGGCAGTCATAACTCTGGCTAGTGTTTCTAATGCTTTCAAATCTTTCATCTGGACCTGCACAGACACCCCAGAAACAATACTTCATCAGCCAGCTAGATGCACCTCAGCCCAGTCGGGCTCCCACATGTCATAACTGTTCTAGTAGAGCAAAAGTCAGTTCTAAACCAGGCATGTGGCACACCCCTTTAACCCTGGCACTGGAGGCTGGCACAGGAGTTTGAGGACAACCTGGGCCTAGAGACCCTGTCTCAGAAACAAAAAGTTCTGTATTATAGGCTAATTTTTATATGCATTATTTTATTATTGTAAATAATTTTAAAGACTTTCTAATATGTATATAAGGGGGTGATGTGCATATGCCAGAGTCCAGAACAGGGTGTTGGATCTCCTGGAACTAGAGTTACAGTGGATTTTAAGCCACATGGTGTGGGTTCTGGGGAAAAGTTGGGTCCTTTACAAGAGCAACAGGTGCTCTTTACCACTGAGCCATCTCTCCAAACCCCAAAGAACTCAATTTTAATGCACAATTCACCTTTTTAGCACTCTGTACAGGATAGCTCCAAGCTTACATAGAAATCAGGTTCTGTCTGAAGAGTATTTTATTTTGTTTAGGTTTATTAGAGTTCTCTTGATGGGCATCTTTTTTTTTTTTTTAAAGACAGGACCTCAAACTCAAGAGTTCTGCCTGCCTCTTCCTCTCCAGTGCTGGGATTGAGGTCATACCCCCCCCACACACACACACACACCCAGCTCTCATCTTTTTTTGTTTGCTTGCTTTTATATCCTGACTACAGTCCTCCCTCCATCCCCCCCATCCCTACCCAAATTCACTCCTCCTGTTTCTCTTCAGAAAAGAGCAGGCCTCCCATGGATATCAACCAGCCATGGTATATCAAGTTGCAGTGAGACTAGGCACCCCCTCTCCTTTTAGGTCTGGATGAGGTGGAAAGGGTCCCAAAAGCTGGTAACAGAGTCAGAGACCGCCCCTGCTCCCACTGTTAGGAGTCCCCCAAGAAGACCAAGCTACACAACTGTCACATATGCAGAGGGCCTGGGTCAGTGCAGGCTCCCTGGTTGTTGGTTCCGTCTCTTGCAACCCCTATGAGCCCAAGTTTGATGCTGTGGGTTTTCTTGTGTTCTTACCTCCTCTGGCTCCTACAATCCTGTCTTCCGCAGGATTCCCCAAGCTCCGCCCAATGTTTGCCTGTGGGTCTGCGTCTGTTTCCATCAGCTGCTGGGTGAAGCCTCTCTGATGACAATTTGGCTAGGTGTCAAGCTCTGAGTAGAGCAGAATATCATTTGGAATATATCATTTGGCATCATCTCATTGAACTATTTTTCTGCCAGTCATATTTGGTTCTACCCTAGGTCTCTGGACCATCCTGCCTCTGTTTCCTAGCCCTCCGGGGGTGAGCTCTCTCTCAGGCTGGACCAGTCATTGCTTGGCCACCCCCACGATTTCTATGCCCTCTTTCCCAGAACATCTTGAAGGCAGGATAAATTGTAGAACAAATGTTCTGTGGCTGGGTTGGTGTCCCACTCCCTCCACTGGAAGTCTTGCCTGGACTTCCAGGAGAGGGCCGGCTCAGGCTCCGTAGCCCCCCACTGCTAGGAGTCTTAGCTAGGGTCACCCTCATAGATTCCTGGGAGTTTTCATTGCACTAGGTTTCTAGCTCTTCCTAGAGATGCCCCCTGAAGATAGGCTTCATCATGTAGCGGAGGCTAGCCTTGAACTCGTAGCCCTCCTGCCTCCACTTCCTGAGTTTTGGAACGCGCACCACCACCCCTCACTGCCTGACAGCTGCTTCTGGCACCTTCCCTCGCTCTATCACACGTCACTCCAGCTGGCCACAGCTGTGTCCCTGCTCCTGTATGTGATGCGCAGTTGACTGTCACTCTTGTCCCTGGTTTTGGAAACTGGATCAGGACCTGTGTGGTTTCTTCAGGTCTGTCCTGGTTGTGATTTCCTGAGCTGCTTTGTACTGTGTATTTATTGTTGGCACCAACCAGAGGAACTTGAGAGACTGATTTGTTCGTGTTCTCTACGCTGGGACTCAGTTGCATGTGGACTGGCTGACATTTTAGATGGAACACAGTGAATGTGTGTGAGTGGGCACAGCAGGCGCCCAACTCAAGAACAGGGCTGAGGCTGAGCAGGAGACGGCAGAGCCTCAGGAGGCAGCTGCATGTGGCATCCTGTCCATATGAAACGGAGTCAGTCCCTCAAGTTCCCCTTGTTGGGGGCAACAATAAATACACAGATCACAGAAGCGCAGAAAGGCGCCGGGTGCAGGTTAGCCCGTGGAGGCTGGGAATCCTGGGCTGGGCTCCTGGGGTGCTGTGGAGGACACCAGGACCTAGAAGCTCTGCAGCTCTGGCGGGTGGGACATTTGCCCCTGATGGCCCTTCTGTGTGTGAGGTGCTTGGAAACAATACCTTTTTTTTTTTTTTTTTTCTGAAGGGAGGGAACATCTGGATGCTAGATTGTATAGAATGGTGTCCTGATGGAGCGGGCCGCATAGAGACTGAGAGGATGGTATGGCTTGCCTCTTGGGGTCTCCTTCCCAGCCTTTTCCTCATGTGCGGATGTTTACGGGAGGCAATGGGGCTGGGGGACACAGAGCTGTGTTGTGTAGGTCAGTGTATGAGTGGAAACCAGTTCAGGGTGAGTCCTGATAACCTATGGGGTCATTCCTGCCATCAAGGGTAGATCATGTCACAGTATAAACATTGTGTGCAGGTCTCAATTGCCTCAGCCCCTGCGGAGCAGAGGGTCCATGAGGGTCCATGCACATTGAGACCGCAGGTGCCTCCGTACAGGTGTAAGTGGGAAAGGGTGAGGGCAGTCCTCAAGAGCCCTCTCGGTGCCATTGAGACATGTGTTGATAAGAGCTGGGCTGTTTGCCCTTTACCTGCCACACCGACCCTGGCCTCTGGCCTGAAAGAGATGCAGTTCATGATCTAGTCAATCTAGAGCCAGAGAAGAGACATCTTAGAACCACTTGAGTTCCTCCCTGGCCCTCAAGAAGGGACAGACCTATGTGGAAGCAATGTCCGGCTGTCCATTGAGGCTTTACTCTGCAGACCAGGCCAGCCCCAGAGGGTAACAGAGCCAGAGCTGGTACAGCTTCCAGAAACAGACAGAGGTTTTGCACAGGCACCTAAATGCCCACCACAGCACCCTAGGGAACCCACACCTGCATTCGCCAGTATGGGGGAGCTCAGCCTCTGAGCTGTCCCGCTTTGTGACTGTCATTATCCCAGTGACGATCCACAGCCCAGAGACCGCTCCTGATCCTACTGAGATGGTGCTCAGGAGCTCTCCCAAGTCTCTCTCTTCCCTGGCCTCCCCAGGCTTGGTTCAACCAGCCTCTCACATCCCCTCCAGCTCTGGGACGTCAGAGCTGCCTCCTCTGCCTCCTTCCTCTCGGGGAACCCCTCACTCTACTCCATCTCTTTGCCCCCGGGTCGTACTAGACCTAACTAGAACCTGCCTGTCCGGCTCCTGTGCCGTGTCCATCCACAGCGAGCATCTGAAGGAGAGGGAAAGAAGTAACTGGCCCTACGCTCGGAGCAGTCTCACTGTGGACTGGGCAGGGGCTTCTCAGATGGAGCAGAAAGCACTGGCCGTGCCCTGCGAAAATATAAACCTTCCAACCACCCAGTAAAAAGGTGGGCAGGGTATGCGTTGGGGTACGTAGCCAGCAAGGGATGCTAGGAAGTGCTCATGCGCAGCAATGAGACGCCCAAGTGTTCAGGGAGAGAAGAGGGTTGGACACCCCTGAGCAGCGCTCAGTGTCTTGATCCATGCAGGCACTGAACCTGAGGCTGCAAGCCAGGTGGCAGCACCGTATGTTAATAACATTGAGCGGCCGCCTTCAGCCCCACTTGTGGGAGAGTGAGACCCTGCGGCCGTCCGGGAAGTAGTCGGAGGGTCACCATCCACCTCCCTCAGGGCTCAGCACAAGCCATGCCCACTCACAGGCGCACAGGGACGGACTCTGAGGTAGATGTCGTCCCTATAGGGTGACCCTCCATAATGTCCTAGAAGCCACCCTGTAGCTCCCATTCTGTGAAGTTAAGAGCCCAACATCATCCAGAGTATGAGGGGTGCTGGCTGTCGGGGGTCGGGGTGTCCGGCTAATGTAACTACATGGGTGTAAGCCTTGCCGGAAGCCACTGAGCTGTGCACAGCACAGGCATGTTTTGCCATTTGCTCAGTGTGCCCATTCAGTCCGTTTAAAGGTCTGGGCTGAAGCCAGGCACCCCACTCTATACGTCTCTGTTCCTCTCATCCACGACTCCTGGCCGGCTGCCACTGTCCTCCAGCTCTCAAGGGCATCCATGGTGGTCGCTATCGTCAGCCCTGGGCCACTATGCTGTCTCCTGTTCCCATTTTGCCTTCTGTGAACTCCGGTTCCCCCTGGGTTCTCACGCCTCCACCTCCAGGCAAAGTCTGTACCTCAGGCGCCTTCCACTAGTCCTGCCTTTAGCCAGAGTAGCCGCCATGGTACATCCCAGGAAACCCAGGGTTCTCAGGCCCCCACACAGATAGGTCAAACCCCACCACCACCCCCACCACCATCCCCAGCCGTTCCTGGGCTTGCCAACTCCTGTGTGGGTTCCGTACCCACGTGTAGAAAGCTCTGCACCTGGAGTCTCAGTGGGACCTGCAAATTTAGAGAGAGGACCTAGGATCATACCCCCAAGCTGAGAGGGTGACAAGAGGGCTCCGAAGCCCCTCTGGAGCCTGGGCTGGGCCACTGGAGTGTGGGCACCCAGCACAGACAGAGAGAGGGCCGCAGCTCTGGCTCCCAGGCACTCACAGTGCAAGTCTGCCCCCGCAGGTGATCCTCATCATCAGTGGGAACCTGAGCTTCCTGAACTGGCTCACCATCGTGCCCAGCCTCGCCTGTTTCGACGATGCAGCTTTGGGATTCCTGTTTCCCTCAGGACCTCGAGGCCTAAAGCACCAAGTCCTGGAGATGCAAAAGGAAGAAACAGGAGGGGTCCAGCCCAAACCAAGATATGGTAGGGGAACCAGGCCCCCAGCTAGCCCCATGACGCCCATGCCTAATGTCTCATGAATATGTAAGAAGGTTGGGGACCCACCAGCTCCACAACACTCAAAATAAGGGTGGGTACCGTAGGCCCGGGGAGGGAACATCTGCTGCCTAGGGTCCTTTACCAGGCCAGGACCTAGGACAGTTGGTCCTTTAGCCACTTCCAGGGTCCCCTGCATGGACCGTCACACTTCGTTCTCCTTATTGGCTTCAGGAGGTGCCCTTGGCTCAAGCGTAAGGGGCTGTGGCTCGGGGTGCCTTTCCCAGCCCATGGCTTCCATCAGCTGGGGTTGCCTGTAGGCCTTCAGCCTGCAGTGGGAGAAGAGCAGCCGAGGTTTCCCGAAGGGACAGCACGGCTTTGCCGTGGGAGTGGGAGCCTGGCTGATGAGGACCATCCTGTCCCCCACCCTCCCCTTGGGCTAGGCTGCACGGTGCGGCGAGTGGTCCACATCTCCCTGGGCGTCCTGGTGGCCTGGCTCAGCGTCCCCGTGGTCATCAACCTCCTAAGCTCCAGACAGGTCATGAACACCTCCTTCAATCCACTCCGGATCGTCAACACCTACGGGGCATTTGGAAGGTACGGGCCAGGCATCCTGGCTGGGGCACTGGGCTCTGCCCTCCTGTCCATCCTGGCTCACTTTCGGGAGGCACGGGCTCATGGCATCGCCCTCTCAGCTGGGGGAAGGCAGATACTGCGGATTCAATGGCCGCCTCCGTCTCCCCCAGTATCACCAAGGAACGGACTGAGGTGATCCTACAGGGCACAGCCAGTCCTAACGCCAGTGCGCCCGATGCAGTATGGGAAGATTATGAGTTCAAGTGCAAGCCAGGTGACCCCTGGAGGCGGCCATGCCTTCTCTCTCCATACCACTACCGCCTGGACTGGCTAATGTGGTTCGCAGCTTTTCAGGTAACGATGCCCCACCGCGATGCTCTGACCCGGAGCAAACTCCCCTTTACCCACAGACAAGCCCTGCATGCGTGCTCTTTGCAAAGGGTGCTCAGACCCCCACCAAGAGGGTCATCGAGGAGGGGGACCTCTCCTTAGAGCTGCATCCCGCCCGAGGCACTGAGCAGGCCCCGCTTTGACCGAGACCTGCCTGGGAAAAGTTCCTGTGGATAGTTCCACTCCTCCCCTCACCCCCAGGCCCAGGCCAGTCACACCTGAGGCCAGGGCAAATAGCCAGGTAGAAAACACAGCTGAGGGCTGGTCCAGGAGTGAGTGATCCCCGGGTGAGAACCCAGAAAGAACGTGAAGCGGGTAGTTCCTGGAAGGTTGACGGAGTGGACCCTCAGAGGAAACCCAGTCCTGGCACACCTGACCATGCCATCCATACTCCAGCCAGGCTGTGGAACACAGGGAAGTAGGGGATGTTCAGAGTGACCAGGCAGGGGCTACACCAGGACAGATGCCAGCTTGCTGGGGGGTGGCTGTCCCCATTCTCCGACCTCATAAACACTGTCCTTCCAGACCTATGAACAGAATGAGTGGATCATCCACCTGGCGGGTAAGCTCCTAGCTGGTGACGCCGAGGCCCTGTCCCTCCTTGCCCTCAACCCCTTTGAGGGCAGGGCACCCCCCAGGTAAGAGTCTCCTTATTCCTTTCAGCCTGTGTTCAGTGAGCACTGTCCCCTAGTGCCTGAGTTGGGCACCCCGATACATGATGTGGAATTCAGTAGCAGCCAGAGACCAGGGGACTGAGCAGTCCTGAGCTGGCCCCATCCCTCCCCTGGGCCCTGCCCACCATTGATGCTGACAGAAAACACGTCCCTGTCTCTCCCTGGAGAAGCGTCAGGACAGCTGCACCTGGAGTTGCCCACAGCTGTCGGGGCTGTCAGGAGGGGCGCTGAGGGGCAGTGAGCAGCTGCAAGTGTGACAGTCCAGGCAAGGGAGCCAGCCAAGTGCCTCCCCACACTGCCTACTGTGGCACTGGGGGTGTGGGGACATGCCTCCCCAGGGACCGCCAGCCTCCCTCCCCTCCCCTCCCCTCTGCCTCGCACCCTGCAGCCACCAGGAGATCTGAACTAGGCACACACCGAAGTGGATACACATCGCCAGGTTTGCCAGTGGCCAAATCTCTGGCGTAGAGCTGTGTCCTTCCAGACTCTGGAAAGCCTTTCACTGACCAACCTCCTGGCTATGCTGTCTTGGGATGGTGCCCCACCTGCCAGGGATGGGTGGAAGGCCTAGGCTTAGGATGAGGTCTCCCGATTCAGCTGGAGGCTCTGAGGATGTGGTCAGGTGTACCTTGTGGAAACAAAGCCTGCAGACAGATCTGTGGATGTGGAGATGCAAATCCCGCTGCCTCTTGTGTGGCTCAGTAGTGAATTGATATTCACTATTGGTACATGTGCAAGTTGAAATACAGTTAGTGCCACAGAGCACGGCCCAGCAGAGGGGCCGGCCATCATCACACTCTGCTTGGTTGCAGAGCTGAACATGACCTCAGCCTGACCCCACTGCCAGCTGTGATTTTCTGAAATGGGTGGTGACACTGGAGTCTCCGTGGTGGGAGGATGGATGAGACACCTCCCTACCCTGCACCGAGCCTGGGTGCTGCCCATGAAATAAACACAGGAGCTTTGAACAGTCAGGGGGGCGGCTAGTGAGGGACCCCAGGACCCCAGCATCAACCTTCAAATAGCACCAGCTCGCCTTGCTTCCTGTCTGTGGACTTGAAACAGCAGCTGATGCCCGGAAAGGAGCCGCTGGCGAGACAGAAGCTACGGCAAGCCCGTTCTAATCCAGCCAGAGCCGCGGAGCAAATGGCCCCACCTCTCAGGAAGAGCCAGGAGCACATGGACTCCACTCTGAAAAAGGAGAGGCTACTCTCTGAGCTGCTGGAAGGCCCTGGGTAACCCAGAAACTCACCACAGCCAGCAGTGCCAGCCTGGTTTCGTGTCATCAGTGGGGGCCTTCGATCGCCACCTCTGCCTGGCAGTGCCAGTGGGCAAGGTAGAAAGTGTGGACCTCCAGCATGGAGTCAGAGGAAGTGGCGCAACAGAAGGGTTGAATGTGATTTGGGATCCCGACCCCCAAACTGTTCAAATCACCCCAAGAACCAGGGAGACACTGAACTGATGAGACAGAGCATATTCCGTGGATGACGACAGCTGAGTCTCCCCACAGCAGTCGTGAGGAGGTTAGAAACGCAACGCCCACAAGAAGAGTCAGCAAAGAAGTAGAAGACAGAGGGAGAACCAAGCGAGACTCAGGACGACGGAGAGCAGAGGCCCTGGAGTGGAGCACTGGAGGAGGGGAGGAAGAATTGGGACGGGAAGGAGTCATCGGCAGTGACCCATGTGGGTGACCAGCTGAGCACCTGAGTAGAGTGTGGGGCCTAGGATGGCAAGGAGATCCAGGACGGGTGTCTGCCCCCCAGGCGAAGAGTCCTGCCTGGGGCTGGGAGACATTAATGAAGAATTCCCAAAGTTGTCAAAAGACACAGCCCTGAAAGGTCCGTAAACAAAGGGAACCCCAGATGGTCAATCTTGGAGGCACAGTAGACATCCAGAAACTGTAGGCAGTGAAGGGACTGAGCAATCAGAGCCAGAGCCAGAGTCACCACCTTGCCACTGAGGGCCAAAGGACCCTGAGATCCAGATCTCACCAATCCAGAGAGGCTGGCTGACCAGAGAGCCCTGGGGATCCTGTTTCCCACCTCCCCGACACTGCGATTCCAAGTGCGCACCACTACACTTGGTTTTGGTTTTCTAATGTGGTTTCTAGGGATCAAACACTGTACCGACCGATCTACGTCCCCAGCCCTCTAGAACAATCACTTGAAAAAGAAAAAGAAAAGAAAAGCTGGAGAGAAGGCTCAGTGGTTCAGAGCACTGGCTGCTCTTGCAGAGGACCCGGGTTTGAGTCTCAGCACCCACCCGGTGCCTCACAACCCTCTGTAACTCCAGTTCCGAAACATCGAACACCCTCCCCTGGCCTCCTCGGCAACTGAAGCAGAAACCGCAGGGGAACGCTGCTCACAGGCTGCTCAGCTTGCTTTCTTCCACAACCCAGGACCACCTGCTTAAGAGTGGCACCTCGCACAGTGTGCCGAGTGCCCAAATCCATCATTCGTCAAGAAAATGCCCCCCAGACACACCTGTAGGTCACTCTGATAGAGGCTAATGTTGAAGTTCCTTCTTCCCAGGTGACTCCAGTTTCTGTCACATTGATAAAAACTAACCAGCAGAGTCATGTTCTAGAATGTTCCAGGGGTGGTGTCAGTCCTCCTCAGTACCCTCACAGACATGCCAGGGAAAGCACAAGGACCTGGCTCTTTCCCAGCCTCCCAGGCCCAACACTGGGCACCTGAGCCCTGTCCCAGGACCCCACCCCCAGCACACCACACCCCCTCTGGCTGTAAGTAGTGTCCAGGCCCTGCAACCCTCTAGACCTTCGACTGTTTCTTGAGAAGAAAATGAAAGCAAGGCGGCCAATTCAGAGAAGACAGACTGATCACATGACATTGGCCTTCCCAGAGGCTCTGCATCCCTTCCCTCCCCAGCCTTGTGAAATGTAGGGTCAGGACCCCCGATTCAGGAGAAGAGGGACTCTGGCAATCTCCAAGGCACAGCTTTACCCTCTCCATGCCCACCTGTGGAGTCCAGTGTGACTCTGCTCAGCACTACCCAGCCTCACCACAGCCCTGACCTCCATCAAGGACCCTTACTCACTCAGGTTTACATACCAGAGGAAGGAAGGATGGCACCCCCACTCAGAACCAATGATACCTCGAGACCCCACACAGGAAAACACACGGCATGTCCCCCTGGTCCCATCCCGGGCTCGCTGTGTCCTGGGCACACCCTAGTAGCACAAGTTGGAAAAGGTGAATCACAGAGACAGGGCATCACCTAGGGTCTCCCTCAAGTCCTAGAACACAGTATATGCCGTCACTGGAACCCAGATGTACCTGTTTGACATCCAAGATTTGTCACAGGCATGGGAAGGTTTTGCTCATGAGGCTGATGGGGCTCCACCCATGGATTGCAGGGACCTAGGCCTGCCTTCTGGGGTGGAGGGGCCGTGAGGAGCCTGGGGGAAGCGTGGAGACAGCAGACTGACGCATTTTCCCCTGCAGGTGGATCCGTGGAGAACATTACCGCTACCGGTTCAGCCTCCCCAGTGGCAAGCACGCTGCCCAGGGCAAGTGGTGGGTACGCAAGCGCATTGGCCCCTACTTCCCCCCACTCCGCCTTCAGGATTTGAAGGACTACTTTAGGACTCGGGAGTGGCCGCTGCCGAAGCCCCATCCAGACAACACCCTGAAATAAAGACCAGAGACTAACTGCTTCTCTGCCTGTGCTTTCTGCTGTGGCCATGGGTCCCACACAGTGACCAGGCGACCCCAGGGTCCTGCCAAGAAGAGAATTGAAAAAGGTTGTGCTTCCATAAGTGCCAGCCTCCTGCCTCTGTCCCTGTCACCTTGCTATCCCGTCTCTGTTATGGGGAGAAGCCCCATCATCCCCATGCCCTGCATATGGCCTCACAGTGGGGTCACATGGACACCAGGCCCCCCCTTTAGCTCAGGGCACCATGTTTCCTCATCCTCCCCCCTCACAGGCCCACCCTGTCTCCAGTACCACACTGCCACCTACATGGACATCACAGGAGGCCACTGCCCATATCGGGATGGCAGTCACTTGGGGAGCCTTTCTTAGTCTCAGCTATGATAAGCAACCCCATAGATTGCTGAACCCCAGGGCTTCTCAGATTCCCAGACCTAGAGGCCAGTTCTCACCTAATCACATGCTCATAGTCAGGCCAATGGCCAGGTCTCCCTCACAGCACAAGATCACCTCAGCCATCTCCCTGAGAGAGAGGCTTGCTGTCCTCAGCCTGATCCCTCCCCAGGGGCCCTTACACACTACCTGGGCAGACACCCACAGAAACATGAAGTCATGGGTCCCATGCACACTCCAGCATAAGAGTATTTGGAAAGCGTGGATAGAAACCGTCCTCAGCTTGTGGCCGTGGGTGATCTGCAGAGGGCCCAGCAGAGCTATATTGGTGGGGACCTTGGCCATAAGATTTGCCATAAGGGGGCTGGAGAGATGGCTCAGCGATTAAGAACACTGGATGCTCTTCCAGGGGGACCCGGGTTCAATTCCCAGCATCCACATGGCAGCTCACAACTATAACTCCAGTTTCACAGGATCTGACACCTTCACACAGACATGCATAGCAGGTGAAACACCAATGCACATAACATAAAAATAAATTATTTAAAAAAAAAATAAGACTTGGCATAAGACTTCCCTTCCGAGTGGACAGAACTGCCCCGGCTCTCCAGCTACAAGGACAGCAGAGACTCTGGGAATACTTGCCCATCCCCCTCCTTGCCAAGCATGGTGTCTGGAGCCCATGTTGCCCGCCCCTGGGCCACACTGCCGAGGATCCCAGAAGGGACAACGAAAAGGTTCAGCTGAGGAGGCTGGTCGAGGGGGGCACAAGGGCGGTCTGTACAGAGCACCCCCTCAGCCCGCCTGGGGGGTGGGGAGGGATGGCCAACCCAGGTGCAAACAGAGAGTCCGTGTTCCAGCTCCCAGGGAAACAGGGCACCCTGTGTGTGTCCGGGACAGACGGGCCTCACAGCAATGATACTGGAGCCAGCAAGTCTGCCATGACCACCACAGGAGTGACTGGCAGCCTGCAGCCTGGGCAGCCCTTCCTGGGGGTGTCCTGTCCACGTCCCAGGCGGGAGACATGGGGGAGGGGCTCTCAGCAGGGACACCAGCTGCTTGGGTAGTCTGGTGACCCGGTAAGTGGCACCTAGGTGCCTGCGTTGGACCTCACCGTGAGGACTCCGTGCCCTTACCAGGTTACCGGGAACACAATCTCAGGGCTCAGCAGGAGACACCTCGGGCCCCCAGATACACACTCCTGGGCATTGATCCAGACATGTGCCCCCTCCTTCCCAAGGATCCTGGGGGGTGGGGGCTGCAGGTCCAGCAGAGCTCAAAACATTGTGTTAAGGCCTGTGCGGGGGGGTGGGGGGTGGGGGGGGTGTCAGGAGCTGTAGCAGGGAGCCAGGCCCTGGGGCAGCTAGAATCCACCAGGATGCGTCTTGTCGGAGAGACAGGGTCTAACAGCCAGGCTGCAATCAGGACAGGTAGGAGCTGGGCCCTGCTAGCCGCAGAATGTCATCTTCACCCAGAGTCCTGTGCTGTCTCCTGTGTCTGTTTGCTCACACGGTAGTCACACTGTATCACTCAGGGATTTTTTTGAGACAGGGGCTCTATGTAGACCAGGCTGACCTTGAACTCACAGTGCTGGGATTAAAGGTGTGTAACCGCCATTCCCAGCTGCACCTTGATTTGCAGAGACCAACACTATCCCAAGGCCAGACAAGCCCATGTGGTATCTGCTGTCATGAGTCACTCCGGAGGCGAGATGAGGACAGCAGTAGTGCCACTTGGAGTGTGGGACATGGGGAGTGGCCACCTGGTGACACCGGCACTCAGTGTGGTATTAGTTCCTCGGGCCAGCAGGAACCCAGGAGGGGTCACAGTAGACACGCTGGTGTGGCTGACAGTAGGCACTTCCTTCCCTTGGCAAGCACAGAGCAAGGCTTATCGCCGTCCCACAGACCCTGTGGCCTTGGGGACCCACCAAAGAGACTTGGCAGCTCTGACTGAAGGTGACTTACCTACTCAGTGAGACCTCTCACCCCAGGGTACATGGGTCCTGACTGGTGAGTCTGTCACTAGATGTCAACTCATTAAAGATAACACAGGGACCTGAGGCCCTGATGGTGACGGCAGTCACAGGTTTCTCCCTCATATATATATATATATATATAGCCCCCCCATCCTACATACACCTCCAAAGCTCCCCTTCTGGAAGTTAGGGGTGCCCCTAGCTCCATTAACAAATGATCCTTATACCCCACTGGGTCACTCCAGCCAGGAGTGACCTAAAGCCATCCTTGGAGAGCCCCATTTCCACCTGTGCCTTGGCTGCATCAGGGCCACAGGACCTTTGCACTGGATGTACTATGCTCCCTGGTCATACTCCAGGTGGAGAGGGGTCTCATCCTTGTCTCTTAGTGCAGCAGGCATGCTATATGGGTCTACCAGGTCAACTGCAGCATGCTAAAGGACTTGCTCACCTGCCCCTGGCCACACTCCCTCCCTGGCCCTCTCCCTCCATGGAAGAACCCGAGGGAGAAAGACTCGGGCTGCTGAACAGTACTGTCTCAGTAGGGCATGCTTCCTCACTTCTCTGCCCAAATCCTCACACCAGGGGAGTGGACAAGCGGCTGTGACTTGAGTAGTCCTGGCTTCGTTCAGTAGGATGTACAGAAGCTAGGGTAGAATCGGAGAGTATCCTAGCTGCTGGCGACCTGTTGGTGTATTAGAGTCACTCTACATAGCTTCCAAACACCAGGCATCATCAGCCAGGAGCTGCGCAGGGGCTCTGGGACGACAGAGGACAGTCAGAGGACTCTACCTCCACCTGCTTGCCAACTCAGGCCCCCAAGTCACCAGGCGCTGTCTCCCTGATGTGCCATGCTGGGCCTATTGGTCCCCTACCCGCCAGCAGCTCAGTGGGATCCACTCCTTCCCTCTCCATCATCCAGCAGAGGCGATGTGCCCTCATCACTCACTGGAGGTAGGTCCCCAGCCAGCTGAGGCCAAGGGCTTTCCAGTCACCTGGGCTAGTAAATGTAACCAAGGAAGCATCCCCATTTACAGTACCACAGGATAGCAAGATACCCGAAGGAAGCCGGCCAAGTGGGTGCCGGGTTCAGCAAAAACCGTAACATGCTCCTAAAAGGAATGGAAGACAACAGAGCGGTGTCAAGTCACCTGAAAATGTCACTTCCGGGATGACAGTGCTCCCCACAGTGGCTGAGTCGCAATCTTGACACCGTCTCAGGAGTCTTTCTATAGAATCAGGAACCCTAGCTCCAGACTCAGTGGAGAACTGCAACTCATAGAATCGGTCTCGTGCTGGAAGACAGCTGTCTGGTAACATGCCTGCCACGCAGCATGAGAACCTGAGTTCGATCCCCCAGCACCCCCATAAATGGCAGGCTCCATGGTTGCTTGTCCTGGACAAATTGGTTTAGTAAGAGACTACATCAAAAAACCAGGTTGATAGCAATCACAGAAGACATCAACTTCTGACTTCCACGTGTGTGCATACACAGAGACACACACAGAGACAGACAGACAGACCCACAATAAATTCTAAAATATAACTTTAAAAGATCAATTCCAGCCGGGCGGTGGTGGCGCACGCCTTTAATCCCAGCACTCAGGAAGCAGAGTCAGGCAGATCTCTGTGAGTTTGAAGCCAGCCTGGTCTACAGAGCGAGATCCAAAACAGGCTCCAAAACTCCACAGAGAAACCCTGTCTCAAAAAACAAACAAATAAAAACAAAACAAAACAAAACAAAAAAAACAAAACATCAATTCCAGGGGCTGGAGAAATGACTCAGTGGTTAACAGCACTGGCTGCTCTTGCAGAAGACCTGGGTTCAGTTCCCAGCAACCACATGGAAGCTCACCACCATCTGTAACTCCAGTTCCAGGGGGTCCAATTTCCTCTTCTGGCCTCCTCAGGCATCAAGCATGCATGTGATGCAGTTAACATGTATGCATGAAAAATACTCATACACATAAAATGTATTTTTTTTTAAAAGGTGAGCAGAGATGTGACTCAGGCAGAGTACTTGCCTGAAGTGCATGTGGCCTTGGGTTCTATCCTCAGCACCAGTAATAGTAGAAGGAGGAGGAGGAGAAGAAGAATAATATAGAAATGAATGGAGCTCCTAAACAAAAGAGCTAACACTAAAATCTCTTAAAATAATAAGCAGAAATTTCATGATTGGTACCTTGTCCCTTCTTTGCTGAAAACGTGGGTTAGGGCCACACAATGGCACTGCCCAGATCAGTAGCTCCATAGTGATGAATGGCAGGGCCGAGGGTGTGAAGCCAGAGCCAGCCATGACCACACATGAGGTCCCTCCTGAGCGGTCTCAAGAAAGACCAGGAACTGGTCTCTGGTACTGGTTGCTGAGGACACACAAGCGGTGAGTCCGTTGCAACCCCAGTAGTGGAGACCCCCATGCCGCTCTACCAGTGCCCTGCCATTGGCCCACGTGCCACACTGCCTGCCCAGGCACTTCTGGGCCACAAAGCAAATAGCAGCAGGTGGGGTTTCCAGCAGGCAGCGGAGCTCAGCATTCATGAGATACTAGCAGCAGAGACCCAGCCCTGCATGTGGGGGAAGAGTGCCCAGTGCTGATACCACACAGTCACACCCAAGAGAGGGAAGAGC